ATGAGACCTCTCTCCCATTCCTGACCCAGATAAATAGAGAAAAGGTTCATTTGAAATACCAGACACCATATATGCTGTAAAAAAAAGTCCTCTATGGACGAAATGCATTGCTTTTTTGAAATTGGCTAGCCTATTTAAAGACCTGAGCCGGATCGAGATCTGCATGACAAAGAGCTTTGGAATAATCACACAGACGTCACATGTACGGAATTAAATGAGTAAACAATTTAAGGCGAAGGACATTGCATTATTAACAGGTGAGATCCATCCGATATATACACCCATACACGGAAGATTTATATTGTCCAGATCTAATTGGAAACTCTAGTGTAACATGGACGTGTTTGGTGACAGCGCCTCAGGAGTATAACCAGGAAAAGAAAAGTAAGGGTGGGAAATAAAAACCATATAGCCGACAGCATTGCATGCTGATTAAATTCTATTAGTTGACCACGTGACGAGAAAGTAACACACTCCTGCCAAATTAGTCATTGACTGCAGCTCTGACCAATTGGTAATGTTTAATAAAAGTAGATATGGAAACCCATGTTGTTGCCCTGCAAATCTGGTCTGCTGAAACCCCTGCTGCTGCTGCCCACAAAGAGGACATCGCCCTTGTGGAGTGAGCCCTGAAGCCTTCGGGCAGAGATATCCCTGCTGCCCGATAGGAGTTAATGATGGTAGACACCATTCATCTGCTCAATAGCTTTAGTCGTAGCAGGTCCCTTTTTTGCTCTCGCTGATATAACAAATAATCTCTTGGACTTTCTCCATTCTCTGCAACGTTCAACGTATATATGTAAATATCTGACTAAGTGCAGACATTTGTCTGCCGCTTGAGAATTGAGAGTTGTCAACATGATATCTTGGTTCATATGGAAACTGGAATGGACCTTAGATAAGAAATCAGGGACAGTTCTTAGAATTACTCTATCTTCTTGAAAGATGAGAAAAGGTTGTTCACAACTTCAAGCCTGGAGTTCAGATACTCTCCTACCAGAAGCTAAGGCTACTAAGGCAACCGTCTTGTAAGACATTAATTGCAGGGAAACCACTTCCATTGGTTCAAACAGAGACTCTAAAAGTTTTTCCAAAACAAGAGGAAGGTCCCAAGATGGATAGAGAGGCCATTTTGGAGGATTAACTTTCCCTACCACTTTCAGAAATCTAACAATGTTGTGATCTTGTGACCATCTGAAACCGGTGATTGCTGATATAGCCTGTACTTGCACTTTGAGTGAACTTGGACTTCATTTCTTATCCAGACCCGTTTGCAGTAATTCCAGCATCGATTTTGAAGAGGGTTGAGCAGGATAAACATTGTTATTCCTGGCCCATGAGGAAAAAACACACCACATCCTACAATATGATGCGGAAGTGGTCGTTTTCCTGGATTTCAAGAGTGTGCTGATGACAGCCTGGGAAAACTTCCTCAATCTTTCCCTTTCAACAGCCATGCCGTCAGCTGAAGCTTCTGACGATTCGGGTGTAGGACTGGTCCTTTAGATAAAAGGTTCACTAACCCCGGAAGTTTCTATGGAGTCTGAACACTCAGAGACAGCAGTAGAGGAAACCATGGCCGTCTCGGCCAATATGGCATGATGGCAATGACTGTCACCCTCTCTTTCTGCACCCTTGGAAGCACTGGCATGATCAGCAAAAAGGAGGAAAAAACATATGCCAGCGTGCAATTCCATGGATGCGACAGAACATCCCGGCCTTCCACCCTCAGATCGAATCTTCTCGACAGGAATCTGCTGACTTGGCAATTTCTGTGAGAAGCCATCACATCCACCTGTCCATCTTTGTACCAGCCTGCTGAAAATTTGCTTCGACAGAGACCATTCTGTTGGGTCTATATGATTACTGCTCAAATAGTCCGATACTTGGTTCTCTGGACCTTGTAAGTACACTGCTTTAATTCCTAGCACATTCCGCACTGCCCATCTCATAAAAGGAGATAGGATTTGCATCATGTTGGGGCTCCTTGTACCCCCCTGATGGTTCAAATATGCTACAACAGTGGCATTGTCCACCATGACTTTGACCCACTCGTCTTGTACCCGGTCCTGGAAGAATAGAAGTGCCCGAAATATTACTGGATCGAACCTCCAAACTGTAACCTTCCATGACTATCTTCAAGAGCCACTGGGTCAGTGGGTCTCCCCACAATGATTAGAGAGAGATTAAGCCACTTTCAGCCACTGATCTCTCCTCCGATCACTGGACGCGGAAGTGCTGTGTATTACATCACTTCCGGTGTCACTGTACACAGTCTCCGGCTCTCAGAGCCAGGACAAGAAGCTGGGAAAGCAGATCTCGGCTTCCTCAGCTTTTTGAGGTCTCTAGGTGATATTAGGGGTCTAAAAGACCCCTGATGCCTCCATAAAGAGGACCTGTTACACCCTATATGCTATTGCACAGGGTGCTTGTTAGTCCCCTATGTAATATCCATAGGGTATTACATAGGGGACTAATCCTCCCCAGTGGGGAGGATAGAAAGTGAAAGCCGGCCGAGCGCTGCAGGAGGAGAGCGCTGTGTTTGTGGGTTTTTTGGGGGGGTGGGGGTGCCAAAAAGAAATCTTGCACCAGGGCCCTTTGTCCGCCACTGATTCTATCCAGGAGTCTGTGCCTGCTCACCCCCTTCTTTATATCCTCTTCCAGATCCTCAATCCACAGCTTGGATGTTCGGGATACAGAAGATAGGGCCACTGCCAAATAAAGATCCATCCCCAAAGCAGTGTAGGCTTTTACTAAATTATGCTCAATTTTACGCTCCATGGAATCTTTGAGGGAGCCTGCGTTGCCGACTGGCAAGGCGGTGTGTATCTCCAACCTGACTACTGCCACATCCACTTTAGGGGCTGCGTCCCAGGCACTGGAATCCGTACTACTGATAGGATAGAGACGAGAAAATCTCCCTTTTGCCCCTATTCTTTTTTGGGATATATCCCATTCCTCTTTAATTAGCTTTTTGGTGATTTTGCTCACTGGAAAGCATGCTCTGCTTCATCTTTGTCCTGCAAAATGTTTGCTTGAGGGAGACAAGACTTCCTCCTGCTCCTTCATGCATAATGTTTTGCGCACCAAGGCATTAAGCGTATCCACTTTCTTGGGTTCAAGCGAAAAGGCAGTTGTTGAGCCTTCCTGATCCAAAGAAGAGGAGTATTCTCCTTCTGACAGTGAAATCTCTTCTTCCGTATCTACCGAGGAATCATATCGAGAGCTAGCAGTTCTCTGCCTCTTACGGGAATGACTGGCCTGTTTTACCCCTTTAGCCACCGCCTGCTGGATAAGATCCAAGATGTCCGTAGAAGATCTGGAAGCACCCGCAGCTTTAGTAAAACAACTCTCCCAGAGCTTCTTCCCTGCCATAGCTTTGGCATCACAAGCATGACATGTGGCAGATTTTCCTTTTATCTTTTCTGAGGATGCCGAGGACTCTATCTCCACAGGGCTCAGCTCCACTGATCCAGACCTGTGAAGTGAGGTACAGCTTTCCATGGCGTTCTGTAAGGGATCAATATCAAGGAAGCTACTGAAACTGTACTTGTCTGCTTTATATAGAAAAATAATTTTAGGTTTGCACCAAAACTCTGCATCGTATGACGCCACCGCTGATTCCTTCCCTGCGCATGCACAGAGGAATCCTGAAGCCGCGACTGTCCACACAAACATTCCCCTCAGCGCGCCGAACTGATGCTCCCGGACAGATGCGAGAGGAACTACACACAACGCCAGCCAAGTCAAAGGTAAGCAAAAGATCCTCCATAACAGAGCTTACCTGACCGGTGGCGAGGGCTGAGTCATGGAATGCTGAAGCCCTAAGTTCCCATACCATGGCCGTTACCCCCAGGGTCACTGCCGGCCTCTTCAAGGCACCAGGAACTTCGTTTAGCTTCTCCAAGGGGACAACCTTGCCTGGGGCCGATACTTGAGGACCTCGTAGGGGAGAGAGGCTGAACTCCCTCGTGCCCATCAAATTCATCCATAAAAGTTCTTCCCAGAGGTAACTATATATCACTCCCTGTCCTTGGGGGACAGGAACAAAAAAAAGACAGGGAAACTCGAGAGAAGGAGGGGCTTATATGGGCCAAGGGTATTTGGGTGCACTCTCAATAGTGCAAACAAGGTGCCTTTGAAGCTCCTTCATGTTAAAGAGCTACTTAGCCACAGTCATTGTACTCCATAGTATGGATTCACTTTCATAGTGAGTAATACAAATCTATTTTTTTAATCCAGCACATCTGAACTAACAGTTATGTTTCCGGTTGGTAAATAAGAATACATTGTTGTTGGCATTGATAGCAAGATTATATATAGAATTAGTATTGCTTCTAACATCTGTGTTTCTCTAAATTGTCTCTTTGTTATACACTCTTTGTCCTACAAATAAAGTATAGAAAGAAATAGTAATATCATTGAGTAATCATTAGGGGAAAGGTGACGGTGAAACAACTTCCTCCTGTCTTGGCAGACTCGGATAAAATCATTATTCCATGGTGCTCTTCTCAGATTCTGTGCCTGAGTATGATAACTTGACAAAAGTTCACAGACTGCTTTTTTTAATGATAAAATCTAGAGTTTTTCTTTAATGTTTTATATTTAAACTAATGTACAGGTGAAACTCGAATAATTAGAACATTGTGCAAAGACTCATTACATGCAAAGCAAGATAATTCAAGCCATGATTTGTCATAATTGTGATGATTATGGCTTACAGCTCATGAAAACCCCAAGAACCCCAAATCCACAACCTCAAAAAAGTAGATTATTACATGCAATCAATAAAACAAGGATTGTACATAGAACAATATCGGACCTCTGAAAAGTACAAGCATGCATATGTACTCAGTACTTGGTTTGGGCCCCTTTTGCAGCACTTACTGCAATTACTTTTGCACGATATTCTAATTATTCGAGTTTCACCTGTATATTGTAAGGTCAGGAATTGAGTCCTGCAGACTTGTAAAGTAATTAGTAAGTTATCTTTAAATTACCTGATTTAGGGTAGGTGACATTGAAGACATCATCATCCAGGACTTTAAATTCATTTTCCGCATAATTGAGACTACTTTCTGAGTGTACCGTATGCGCAAATTTGGCTCCTTTGTAATAAAAGTGATCAAATGACATATTTATCTGTAAAGAGATGTAAATACAAATGTTATACATGAACAATAGCTTTGACACAAATAAGAGCAACCAGATCAGTATTGACTACTCTACGTGCATGGAGATTAGATAATTCTGACACGCAGCATTCAAACAGAGAAAGTTTTAACATGTAGGTCTGTGCAAAAATATGTAGAACATCTTTCCAATACATACATATATATATTTAAAAAAATGCTGCATGAATATTTATTTACTATTATTATAGGTATTTATATATTACCAACAATTTACACAGCACTTTACATATGGCACATTCACATCAGTCCCTGCCCTCAAGGAGCTTACAATCTATGGTTCCTGTCCAGTGGTGTATTTAGGTTTGGTGCTGCCCTAGGCAAGACAAAACTTGGGTGCCCCCCACACACACACACTAAATTTACCCCACCCGGCTGTGGTCTCAGGTGGGCTATGCAGGTCTGTGGTGGACTCTACAGGATCTGTGACGGGCTCTGTGGGGTCTCAGGTGGGCTGTGAAGGATCTCTGGTGGGCTCTGCAGGGTCTCAGGCTGCTAAGCCTACCTGAGACCCTGCAGAGCCCACGATAGACCCGGCTGAGCCCTTCACAGATCCTGCACAGCCCCCCTGAGACCCTGCAGTCTCAGGGGTCTGTGCAGGATCTGTGGTGGGCTCTGCCCACCATAGACCTTGCAGAGCTCACCACAGATCCTGCAAAGCACCTTTGGGACCCAGCAAAGCCCCCCGCAGATCCTGCAGAGACCCTGCAGGATCTCAGGGGGGCTCTGCAGGATCTGTGGTGGGCTTTGCAGGCTGCAGAACCCCCTATGAATCCTGCAAATCCCCCTGACACCTGACAAAGCCCCCCACAGATCCTGCAGCATCTCAGGGGGATTGTGCAGGATCTGTGGTGGGCTTTGCAGGCTGCAGAACCCCCTATGAATCCTGCAAATCCCCCTGACACCTGACAAAGCCCCCCACAGACCCTGCAGAGACCCCTGACACCCTGCAGTCTGCAGGATCTCAGGGGGGGTGGGCAGGATCTGTGGTGGGCTTTGCAGACTGCAGAGCCCCCTACGGATCCTGCAGAGCACACCAAAGGGTATTCCACAGCCCACCTGAGACTCTTTGGTGAGCTGTGCAGAATCTATGCTGGGCTCTGCCAGCACAGTCCTCTTACCTTGCATGGCCTGACCTCTTTGGAACACGGCCTCCTCATCCTTGGCGCCCAACACAGTAACTCGGAGACTGCCTGTATACACTCACAATAAGGCCCCTTTCATATCTGTAGGTGTAGGTGCGATTAGGGATTCCTGCATCAGAAACTTGCATTTTACTGCATCAGGAATCCCTAATCTGGCGTTTACAAGTGGCAGCTGTCACCTATTCAGCATGTAATGGTATGTGATATTATTACATGCGGTTAGAAAACACTCTCCCTGAATGCACAATCATTGCGTCCAGGGAGAGTGATTGATTCCTAACCGAATTTAATCATATCACGTATCATTACATGCGATGTGCAGGTGTTTACATGCAACTGTTGTCACCTGATCATTAACTTAGGTATCAGCTGTCACTTGTAAACGCCAATTCAGGGATTTTCCGCGGGCCGCAATTGGTCCGCGGGCCGGTACATTTGCCGCCCCGCCGGAATCTGCCGCCCGAGGCTACCGCCTTGTTTGCCTCGTGGCAGATACGCCCCTGTTCCTATCTCACACGCATACACATGCAGGGCCACTTTAGACAGGAGCCAGTTAACCCTCCAGCATGTGTTTGCACTGTGGAAGGAAACCAGAGTATCCGGAGGAAACCTATGCAAGCACAGGGAGAATATGCAAACTCCTTGCAGACGGTGTCCAGGCCGGAATTTGAACTGGGGACCCCCAGCGCTGCAATATTAGAAGTGCTTGTTACTGCTCACAGACTTTTTCCTTCATGTTAGAAGATCTCTGTGATTATTAAAGGATTGATTCCTTTTCCACGTAGGAATGCCACAGAAATGTCACTCATGGTGGCCAGTGTATGGTAAAGTCCCCATGTCTCCTCTCCAAAACCACTGCAACCATTTGAACGCCAGATGAGTCAAAACCTTGCTCTCCCCACACTGGGTGCTGTGGTTCCTCCGGCTGCTGTGGTTCCTCCCACTGCAGTGGCTCCTTCCACCAGCTTGTGATGTATGATCTGGTGGGAGGAACCACAGTGGCCATCGGGAGGAACAAGTATTTGACTGATCTGAAATTCAAAAGCTTGCAGTGGCTGGGGTTTGGAGACGTGGGAGCTTAATCTTACATGGGCTGCCAGAAAGGGCAGTAAACAAAAGCTTCCTTGGCCTAGAGAAAACTAGTTAGAGCAAAACTAGGTAGATATAAAAGACACAAATTAATCACTAATACATCATTAACTGTATTTTTTAAATGCAAGAAGTCTAAGTACCTGAATTTGACTTGGTATCAGCCTCTTGCAGTACCTATAGAGCAGAACTGGAGTGTAAGAGGAAGAAGCGGCACAAGGAGCCTATCTGTTTATGTGCTGCCAAGAAGCATGCTGATAGGAGGAAAAAGCAGACTGACAAAGGGACAAACTAATCACTGTGCTGTTTCTCCTTGTCCTGTCCAGTCACAAGCTGGGGCAGGTTCAGGACAATATAAGCTCAGAGGATGTGGGTTGAATGATGCTGGCCATCAGAATGAGGACATCTAGGGGCAGAAAAATGTACTGGGGTGATCTCTGGACGGATGGCGAATATTACAACAAAAGCTGGTTTTGTTATTTTATCTGTTAATGGCCTATTCATTGTTATCTTGCGATCTGTTGTAAGAATTAACAAGCATATTTATGACTCTATTGTTAGTGATCCCCTGACAAGTTCAATGTAACCTCTTTATTGTTGAAATCAGTCACGTGCATGTATCATGTGCATGAATAATCCCAATTGTTGTCTGACTTTATTCATGTAATTCGCAGCTCTCTTTGATATCTCTGGCAACAGCCCCTCAATAGTTTACTCATCTTGAAAATAAATATCTCAGTAAACTTTACACATAGCCAGAGCCGGATTTGCCACAAGGCCACTGAGGCTTGGCCTCGGGTCAGGAGGGAGCAGAGGGGCGGCAGGGGTGTGGAATTTCCCAATGGCCGGTAAGTTGTTTTCTACATTTAGCCCTGCTTTGGGCAAGCAGGGCTAAATGTAGAGCGGGGAAGCCGCTTGTTTGTTTACAAGTGATCTTGGCGATGTCGCCGAGGTCACTTGTAATAACAATGCAGCCGATCCATCCAAAGATCAAGCAATTAGAGCTTTATTATAATTATAAGTTTTTTTTAAAAGATAAAGTCTTATAATTTGAGGTAGTTGGACCCCCCCCCTCCAGGAAAAAAAAATTATCTACGGCCCTGCCTCCATCACTGGTGTCGGTCTCTGATCCAGAGCAGACTGCTGTCTCTTCCTGTCCCAGGAATCTGTCCGGCGTGCGCGCTCACCGCTGCGTGCATTCACTTCTACTGAGTCTCTCCTCTTCTCCCTGCCGGTGATATGGACTGCGCATGCGCCTGCCCACATCATCCTCCTGCACGGCTGTTCAGGACCTGTGTACTGCAGCTGTGAGCAAATGGCGGAGACAGAAGTAAGTATTTACCTGTTTGGTAACTTTTTATTTTATTAATGTTTTTGCATATATCTAATTCTTGCTAGCAGTAGATATATGTAAAAAAAACTGAGACTTTAATTCTACTTTAAAATGAGATTAAACCAAGTTTTATAAAGAAACAATAATATTGAGCGTTTTCAACCAAGGACCAGTAATTATCTATGCATTGATTATGACAACTTGCATATGACATTCTTCATTCTTTCAAACAGAAGTGCAACTCTAAACTACTAAAATGTAAAACTATATTGGCTGTAGTGCAATTGTACATATTACGTATTAGACGTCCATTCGGGATGGAACCGGAACTGGAAGTCTAAAGAGATTAGTTCTGATTGGATCTCTTCCCAAATCGTCCCTCTCCCTAATATTTTAGTCTAGTTTTAGTTAGTCAACTAAAATGTCATTATATGTTCATTATAGTTTTAGTCGTCATAACTTTTTATTTCGTTTTAGTTTAGTTTTAGTCACTTGCTTTATTTTTTTTATTAAAGATGTTTCACTGGTCATCCAACTTGCTTTCTCCATTCAGAAATGTCTGAATGGGGAAAACTAATCAGATGACCAGCGAAGCGTCTTCAAGAAAAAAATACAGCAAGTCCAGTTGCCTTGACTTTTTTTTTACAAATATTACAGTTATAGTTGCCAAAAGTCCTGAATCCGGCAATTTTGAACAATGTCTCAAATTATCCATGCCCTGAGGGCTGTCTTGTAAGAAGCTTGGCAACAATGCAGTGGAATGCTTGAATGCTCTTTGCACTGCAGCACCTAGCACTAAAAAAAACTCTGGTACTGGCAGGCAGAGTGATCTCAGCCCTACATTAAAACTGTAGTTCTGGCCCAACAACATGAGGTGAGAGGCAGCAGAGTAGGAGCATGTGCTCAGCAAAGTAAAACCACTGAACACCAATAAAGGGAGTGCACTGTGACAACTGGATACATGAAAGCAGCATTACTGAATCATAATTTACCTTATGAAAGTTGCCAAGTTTCCCAGAGTTAAATTGCATATAAACATTTACAATACATTTTTTTGTTCCCTTCTGGTCTGTGAAATATACAACTGAATACTGTTTGTTACATCTGTTCAATGCATGTTGGTTATGTCAGAAATTCAGTGAGCTCTAAACTTTCTTTAGAGCTGACATTAGTGGCTTGGAATCTCAAGCATTGGTATAAGCCCTGCCAGTTTACCTATGTAAACTACAGAATCCTCCCTCCCCCCCATGTTATGGAAGTGAGGAGAGGGAGAGGTGCTCTGTAGTCCTAACATACTTCCTATCCTAGGGTGACAATGCTGCTCCTCCATAGATACAGTTCAGTGAGTGAGCATTGGGCAGGAAGCATGATACTGGCAGGAT